GTTCTGGGTCTGTATCCTGGTCCCCTATTTCTCCTGCTTTATCTTGCTTCTTTGTGTGGACTGTGATGGTCTGTTGTCTCCAAGACATTGTGACATTGCTGTATTTATATTGTGATTGTATATTGAGGTGATTTCACCCAAGATTTTAGTTTTCTTTGTTTTGTTTGGACGTATCTGAGTAAACAGGGTGCTGTGTTCCTCTATTTGCTAGTTGGCAGCACTTACACACTCACCGCCTATCTCCTGGTGGGTATGATAGGAAATGAGAGTAGGTGCACAGATCTCTGTTAGCTGTTTCTAAAGAGTAGTTAAGGGTGAGTCAGGCTTGTATTGGTTGTCATCTATTGTTGGCCAGTTGGTGCAGAAGCAAGTGGTGGCCCTCACTCAGTAGGTGGGGCTGCTGGAGGTGCAGGTATGGTTGGGTCGTATGGGCATGGTTGTTGTCTCCCACTCAGTTAGACAAAAAAAAAAAAAATTAAAAACACCAAAAAAAATAAAAACAAGGACAAAAAAATACACATTGCATAAACACACAGGAACAATCACCAAAAAGAGAAAGAAAGAAAGAAAAAAGGAGGAAGGGCAATAAATGAAACAAAATATTTAAAGAAATACTTTTAAAAGACAGAAAGTATAAATGCAAAAAAAGAAAAGAAAAGAAAACCCCCACAATATCTGGGGAGGGAAGAATAAGAGAAAAGAGCTAGAATAATAGAATAATTAGGAAAAGAAATGGGAAAAATACAAAAAAGAAAAACGAGGGATGAGAAGAACCACAAGAAAGAAAAAACTGGAAACCAGGAAAAGAAAAGAGGAAAAAGAAGGCCAAAACTAAAATCTGGGAAGGATAAAAGAAAGAGTAAAAATTCAAAGACAGAATAATTTAAAAACAAGCAAAAAACAAATCTCGGGGTGGGGGGACAGGGCACCCAGGCTCTGTCAGAGCACAGAGACCAGGATGGAATTCCTGCCAGCCCAGAAGGTGGGTGGAGGTGAGGGATGGCTGCACTTCTGTTCACCAAGAGGGTGTGGGGTATAAGAGTAACGAGGGGAATTCACACCTTTCCAGTTATCAGCCTTCAGTATGTCCGTGCTGTGCTTGGCAAGCGGAGCCTACTTTTAGGTCCCTGGAATCTGAATGAGAATGCTGTCATTTTATATATCCAAAATGGCTACTGCTTGTAAACATTCAAAATGGCTGTGCCCTCTGGACAGCCGTAACCCACAGCTCAGTTTGTCTCTTTCTTTGCTGTTTCCCTTTCTAGTCATCAGCCAACAGTAGTGGTCCATGCAACACTTGGCGAGCTGGACCAATTTTTCAGTTAATTCTCACATCCTAACACCGCTTGGAAATATTCAAACTGTCAATGCTTTCAGGACAGCTGACAGTCTGAAGCTCTGTTTGTCTCCTTATTAACTGTTTTCATGCAGGTTCTTCTACTAAACAAACAAACAAACAAACAAACAAAAAAAACAACTCAGTGCTGTCGGGTAGTCTCATAGCAACCCCTCCCTGGGTTTTCAAGGTGGTATCTCTACAGAAGTAGATTGCCCAATCTTCTTTCCAAGGATTGGCTGGTGGGTTTGAACCACCAGCCTTCTGGTTAGCAGTCAAATGCCTTATGCACTATGCCACCAGAGTTCCTGGTAGTTGATATTTAATCCACTTATGTATCCTTCTATTCAAAGTTTAGGGGTCCAGGATCTGTATCTGTGTCATCTGGTTTCTTTTTTCTTTGTTGAAAAGGGTCTGTATAGCTTTTCTGCCTATTCCTCCATATTATCGGAAGTCCAGGACCATTGGTCACCTCTTGAAATAGCTGAACATAAACCAATTTTTTGTGTGCAGAAAAAAAACAAAACAAAACTCACTGCCATTGAGTTGAATTCGACTCATAGCAACCCCTCCTTGGGTTTCCGAGGCAGTGTCACTACAGAAGTAGATTGCCCAACCTTCCTTGCAGTGACTCTGTGTATCCCTTCCATCTTCTTTTGATGCTTCCCACCACATTCAATATTTTGCCCATAGAATCCTTTAGTATTGCCACTCAAGGCTTGAATTTTTTCCTACTAACCAAAGTAAGATGTAAAATATTGTCTTGTGGACTGTGTGATGCCACAAAAGGGTCACAAGCCATGGAAAACCCTGCAGGATAGTTCTACTCTGTCTTATAGCATTGCTATGAGTTGGATTCAACTCAGTGGCAACACATTTAAAGAAAAAAAATCTGTTCTGCAGTAGCCCTGGTGGCACAATGGTCAAGTACTCAGCTACTAACCAAGCTGTTGGCTGTTCGATCCCACCCAGTAGCTTCGGCTCCATGGAAAGAGACCTGATGGTCAGCCATCAGCCGTGTGCCCGGCTCTGAAGGGAGAAGACACGCAGCTGACATCAACAATTAAAACCAAGAAAACCAAACTCACTGCCATTGAGTCAGATCCGACTCACTGGGACCCCTCCTTGGGTTTCCGAGGCAGTATCTATATGGAAGTCGATTGCCCAACCTTCCTTCCAAGGAGTGGCTGCGGGTTTGAACCACCAGCCTTCTGGTTAATGCCTTAGGCACTATGCCACCAGAGCTCCTACATCAACAGCTACATGTACTTTATAGGAGAGAGACACACACCTTAAATGACACTATGCCTGTGATGACCCTAAATGGAAACATCAAGGAAGGAGCCCTGAGTACAGTTACAGAAGGTATGATACCCGGGAACATAGGGGAAATTTCAAAGGATAGGAAGAATTAAGTAAGTGCCAAATGGATGTTGGTGTATTTAATTGGATGTCTTTCGATCTGATCTTACTTTTCATTTCTGGCAGGGCCAGCCCCTGGAGGAGGGAGAGTGGGGGCCCCATGAGGTCCATGCAGAGCTGCTGATTTCCTTGTGGCCATAACTCCCTTAATGGGAAATGAAGTTTATTTGTGGCTTGGAATTCTGAAGTGTCTGGCTCTGTGGGAAGATGCCCTGGAGGTCTGGGAAATTAATTGGGTTCTAACTGGATGCACTGTTATGATTGTTACAGTAAAAGGGAAGACAGGGTCTTGCTCTGGGGACAGCCTGCCCTGACCAGCAGCAGAACCAGATTCTCAGTGATGAGGCAGGGATGTCCCCAGTGACCAACCTTGAGCTTCCTCGTGAAGTCACCTTAGACCTCAGACTGGAGTTCTCTGGTGTCACCTCTGCCCTCTAGGTGGAGACATCAGGAAAGATTGTGCTAGTGCCAGGCAAGAAGGGGAGGGAGTAAATGGTGAAGCCACAGGAGACTCTCAGGCCACTGGAGGGGCTGGGAAGGCAGACTTCCTCCATGTCTTCTCTTTCCTGGCTGGGTGAATAGGTGCCTGCAGCAAGAGGCTGGAGGGCCATGCAGAAGTCCCTGTGATGGGGCAGGGTTTCCAGAAGCCCCTGCAGCCTGGCAAGTCCTAGTCCCTGGTGGTTGGGGCTGTCCCTGGGACTTCAGTTTGTAGGCAAGTAAAGGACTTTTTGGCACAGTGAGTCTGGATGGAGCAACCGAGACCAGAGGGGAATTGTGGATGCTGGAGTCAGGGTAGCCCTTGCCTACTGGCCAATTCTGACATAGATCCATTTCCTGGTGGGCGTGGCACCCTGAGGCTTGTCACTCACATTCTCCACAACCCCAAGTCTCACAGCATCTGAGACCTACACTCTGACCCAAAGCCCACTGCCATCCAGTCAGTTTCAACTCATAGAAACCCCCATTGGGTTCCCAAGGCTGTAAATCTTCATGGAAGTAGATTGCCTCATCTTCCTCCCACAGAGCAGCCAGTGGGTTTGAACCACTGACCTTCTGGTTAGCAGCCATGAATGTCTTACCCACTACATCACCAGAGCTCCTCACGCTGACAGCAAGCCTTTTTTGAGCACCTATGGTGTGCTTGGCAGGCGTGTGCTGGGGGTACAAGAGGAATGAGATCCAGCGGGGAGACAGTCACCCCAGAGAGGGTTGGGCCAAGGGCCCTGCCATGGATTGTGTGGATGGAGGCTGACAAGGTTTGGCACCCGTGGAGAGATGAACTGGACGCACCCTCCTCTACTTCTCTGCTCTTGGTCTCTCTGATCATCAGTTTTTCTTTCTGTGAAATGGGTTCTGGGTTTCTGACTTTCCCACACTGAAGCCTCACATCTTTGTGACCTCACTGGAGTGTAGCCATGGAGACAGGAGGAGGAGTCTAGGGTCCCATGCTCCAAAGAATTTAGGAGGAGAGCAACAGCAATTGGTGATTTATTGGTAGGGCTGGCGCCAGGGTCAGAAAGGAAACCTACAGTCATTGTGTGTGGAGATTGCTATCTCCTGTCACCAGTCAGGGCCTACTGGGCACACCTGCCTCACCTCACAGGAAGCAGATGAAAAGCCTGAGGCAGCAAGGGTGTGGGATGCTCTAAGGCCGGCCCTCCCCCAAGGGTCCAGCCTAATCACTTACTAGAATCCTCTATGTAACCTGGGTCCCATCTGTGGCCACCTGTTTCCCCACTGTGGTTGAGGAGGGGTTAGGGCAGGGGTGTGTAGAGTTAGTTTTGAAGGATCTTTAAGATTCCTACTTTTTAAATTATTATTATTTTAAATTCAAGTCCCCTGCCTGGCACGGATTGCCACTCTCGGCCCTGGTGAGCGCTGAGAGGGGCTGCGGAGCCTAATGTCTCTCCATGACTTCCTATGCATCCTGGGTGCACGTTTTCTCTGAGCCCGGCGCTGCGCTAACGCAGTTCAGAGCCCGCACCCCCTCGCACCCCCGGGCCGCGCGCGCCCATTGCACCGCCGTGGACGCTGAGGCCGGGAGGCACGCTCGCGCGGTCCCAGGCTCACGGCCGGGCTCGGCTCCACCCAGGCGCCGCGCGGGTGGGGGTGAGGGGGGGTGGGATGGGGGCGGGGCCGGGCGGGGCGTCGGGCTCCCTGCAGGCGTGGATGGCGGCTGCACTCGCCAGCAGAGTGCCGCCAGGCTGCCCCACACCTGCCGTCATCCATGGGTCCATTGGCCATGTGCCTGCCAGTGGTGCTGCTACTGCTGTCGCTGCTGCCGGACCAGGGACCCGGACCTGGCTTGGGTGAGTGAGACTGGCCCCTCTGAGGACCCAAGAATCCCCCAAGACCTCCTCAGCCCAGGCTAGGGACCCTCGTAGGGCCCCTTCTTGGGGAACCCTGCCTTCCCAGCCCTCTGCAAGGACTCCAACTCAGCGACCCTCCCCAGGGTCTCAGGGTGCCCTGCCTCTCCAGGGGTCCACAGTCCTCCCCAGACACCCCTCATACTCACTGTAGCTCCCTACAGCCACCCAGCAGCCTGGGGTCCTATGATCTGACCCTTCACTCCCTCCATCCTTGGGGCCTGAAGTGGGTCCACCAGGAGGACACCAAGGCTGAGAGGAGCAGGGGCAGAGGGGCTCAACCCTATCTGAGCGGTGGCCCTCAGAGAAGTCTCCTCTGTGGCTGCCATTCCTGGGGTGCACAGACACACAGTGAGAAATGTGCAGACACCATGGGCACAGACACTACAGACAAGACCACCCAGACTTACCTAGGCACACAGATGTGGGCTCATGGATGGTCTCACACAGCTCCATATGGCAGACCCAGGCAGGGACCCGGACAAGAGGACACACACACACACAGGGTCACCCAAGACAGTGCCTCAAGGCAGACTCAGATACAGACGGACACACACACACACACACACACATACAAACGGGGTCACCCAAGATAGTGCCCCAGGTCAGCCCAGACACACGATAGGCACACACACACAGATTCACACTTAGCACCAAAGGAGAAAATTCACACACACAGAGATCCAAAGCACAGACACCCTACAGGGACACACATGCCCAGATACACACACTCAGGCACAGAGACATGCATTGATTTCTACAATAGGCCCAGACTCATTCACTGACATAGACAAACACACACACACACACACACACAAGATTAACACTCAGAAACACCCAAACGAGTGAATTCACACACAGACTCTCCAGCAGGGACAGACATGTCCACATACACAGGCATAGACACATATGTACACACACACAGATTTGTTCAACCAGCCCACACCCAGTGAATGGACACAGAGAAGAACACAGAGGCACCCACCATAGCCACACAGGGTGAAATGCAACACACAGTCAATACACTCGCAGACTCATAATCAGACACACTCACAGACACATCAACACAGATACACAGAGACACACACATATACACGACACACCCACCACAGAGACCCCTGGGCTGCACGAGGCACAGATAGCCTGGAACTCGCAGCAGAGGCTGCTGTGGGCATCAGGACAAACAGAGCCTGGTGTGACCTGCCCCACCTAGGTTGGCACTGGAGTGTTTACCTGGCTACAAACCCAGTGCTGGGTGTCCGCCCTGTGCCAGGCCCTCTGGAGGGCTTTGTCCAGGGTCATTTCATGCCAGAGAGTGGTGGAGTAGGGTGGGAAGGGGGCTCTGGGCATAACTTCGGGGGACAGGGTTGGACCATGTCAGCGGTGGTTAGAGTGAGTGGGATATTCCACGGAGCTTGGTTGGATCAAAAGTAAGAGACCCACCCACAACATGCCAGGGGACATGGGCTGCCTAAGGCTTCTTCCATTTGCCCTCAAGGAGCCCCCAGGTTGGAGGGGACACGCCCATAAGCAGACAGGATACAGCTGACAGGAGCCAATGTTTGTCACTGGAGTGAGGAGGACTTGAGGGAGGTGACCCCGAGTCGGGTGAGGATGAGGATGAGGTGAGGATGTTCCCAACAGAGACTGTGTGTGAGGAGAATTTGAGGCAACAGGAAGTGATTCCATGTGCCCAGAGTGGAGGATCCGTGTGGGGAACATTTAGAGAGGATGCTGGGGAGGTCAAGGGGCTGGCTCCCCCAGGACCCCTGGGGCGGTGAGGTCCCTGAGCTTTATCCCTAGGGTGGAGGGAGCCATGGAAGGTTCTAGACAGAGGTGCAGGCTGCTCAGAGCAGCACTCAGCTGCTCCTGAGAGCGTGAAGAGTGGTCACCCAGAGAAGAAGGTGACAGTATCAACCCTAAAATCATTTTTACATTTTCTCTCAGTTTGATCCATTTCTGTTCATCCATACCAATATGCTGTTTTTTTCACTGAGAAAAAAAATATTGGAATTAATTTTGGCCTGAACTCTTCTTAAAAGTCAGTGTGTAAATGTGTTCCAGAAGAGGAGGGGGAGGAGATGGACAACCAAATACAAGTAAATGGAACAACAGCTGCGAGGGCTGTTATTGGCTGAGGAGGAGGGAGCCACGGACTGGCAGTCAGAAGCTGGGGTTGGAGCCCGCCTCAGGGCCTTGTGAAGCCTCCGGTTTCTCACCTGTCCGACGCAGGTGTTCCCATCACTCCACACCTGTTGCATCTGCTATGTGTCCAGGAGGAGTTGGGATTCTGAGAAATGGCTGGGCTTGGGCCATGAGGCCTCTGCGGTGGGACAAAGCCAGGGCTGCTCAGTGAGACTAGAAGCAGAGGCAGGGTCTGGCGGGGAGTTGGGGTTGAGGGGGCCCTGGGATGGGAAAGACCTTACAGACGGCTCCTCCTTGGTGGCAGGGACCTTGTTTAGCTCATCTTGGATGCCCAGAGTCCAGCACCAGGAAGTGGGCAAACATGATGTGTGACATGCACTCTGACTGAGTGTGGGGTTGACAGAGACAGGGAAGGGGCAATCCAGGAAGAGGAAGCGGCCTGTGCAAAGGCCCATTGTGACCTCTCAGGAGCTGGGGCTCTGTGACTTGTTTTTTCCTTCTTGGCTGCTTTGGAGCATAACGGTAGTGATATGCAGAGCTTGTTACATGCCACCTGCTTCACATGCATCACCGTATCCCTCCATTTCTTAGACGAGGAAAAAAAAAGCACAGAGAGGTTGAGTAACTTGTCCAAGGTCACACAGCAATGAAGTAAGCGAAGCAGGATTGAAAGCCCAACAGTCAGGCTTGTAGCACCCAGGCCCTTCTGAGGGTGTTGCCCTCCCTACTCACATGGCTGGGGCAGCCCTGACCTGCAGCCTCTGACCTTTGTTTTCCTCTCAGCCTCCAGGAAGTCACATGTGCAGAGGCGAGGGCTTCTGGAGCTGGTAGGGACCCTGCAGTGTGCCAGCACCCTCTCTGCCCTGGCCTATATAAGCTATGGTTGCCACTGTGGCCTGGGCGGCCGTGGCTGGCCTCGGGACTCCACAGACTGGTAAGTGCATTCTTGGGCCAGCCTGGAGTCCCCCATGCTCTATGGGGTTGGTTGAGGCATGTGAGGAAATCCCACAATGAAGGTCCAGCATGTGATACTGCCTCGTACACAGAGGGCCTCCTGGGAAAACATGGCTAATGAGGCCAAACCGTGGAGCCATGGCCTCACTGGGCCACGGGTGGCTGCCTTGTCTGACAAAAACCAGAGATGGTGAGACTTATCATGTGCCAGGAACTGCTCTCAACACCCCTTGAGTCCTCACAGCAATACTGCCGGCAGATGAAGAAACTGAGGTGCAGAAGGGTTAAGTAGTTGATCTGCATAGGGAGTGAGAGGTGGGAGCTGGGATTTGAACTTGGTTTGTTGGCTGGGTCTGCTCTCCGGACCACGGGAGAAGCGCCTACTGAGAGCAAGGCTGTGGGCTGAGAGCTTTCCTGATTCCTCCCATTGTCCTCATAGTTGTCCAGAGACAGGCACAAGAGTATCCCCATTGTTACAGGTGAGGGCTCCCTGGGCTCTGAGAGGCGACTGCAGAACTTCCCGCCTTCTTCATAGCTGGGAAGATGTGATTGTCCCTGACCAGCATTTTGTTACCCCTGAGCCTTTGATGTTCCTGCTGCCAGCCACACCTTTCCCATAGTGGTTGACTGCCTCCTGCACATCCTGCCAATTGCAGTTCAGGCATCACCCCCTCCAGGAAGCCCAACCTGATGCACAGCTGGGCGTGGCCCCTCTTCTGGGCTCCCAGAATCCTCTCCTCTTACCCACATCCCAGCATTTCTCATCATGCATGGACTGTCTGGGGGCTTGTCTGCCTTCCTCCAGAGACAGGGCTCTGTGAGGGCACAGCAGGAGTGACTGACCTCTCCCCTCAACCCAGCTGAGGGAGGGATTGAGAGAGTGCAGGCTGATGAATGGATGGAGAGATAGCAGGCAGTGAACGTGTGAGTGAATGAGTGACTGACTAGGGGTGTTTGTGGGAGCTCCTCAGGGAATTATTCAATAGTAAATGTCTATTGAGGTCTTACTGTGTGCCAGGCCCTGGGCTGCAAGCTGGGGCTGTTGTGAGGAATCAGACAGACATGAGTCACCCTCATGCAGTTAATAGTCTGTGAAGAGGACATGTGGTAGTCAGTCTTTTCTCCCTAATGAGTGACTGCTAACACCTGCCCTGAAGGGAAAGAACACCGTTTAATGCGAGGGTGTAATGAGGAGGCTATCTTAGCCTGGGGAGGAGAGGGGAAAAAAAAACAAAAAAAAAAAAACCACTGCCGTGGAGTCATATCCAACCCATAGTGACTCCTTCTTGGGGTTCTGAGGCAGTATCACCACAGAAGTAGATTGCCCAACCTTCCTTCCGAGGAGTGGCTGGTGGGTTTGAACTGCCAGCCTTCTGGTTAGTAGTCATATGCCTTAGGCACTATGCCACCAGAGAGGTCACCTATTAAAACACACCCTGCAGGGAAATGACCAAAAACCAGAAGAATTGTGGGATGACATCAAGAGCATCATCCATGAAGAAAGCAAGAGGTCATTACAAATACGAGAAAAAAAGAAAAGACCAAAATGGATGTCAGAAGAGAATCTCTGAAACTTGCCTTTGAGCAAATAGTAGCTAAAGCAAATGGAAGAAATGACAAGATAAAAGAGCTGAATAGAAGATTTCAAAGAGCAGCTCGAGCAGACAAAGCCAGTTACTTAATGAAATGTGCAAAGACCTGGATTTAGAAAACCAAAAGGGAAGAACATGCTCAGCATGTCTCAAGCTGAAAGAACTGAGGAAAAAAATTTTAGCTTCAAGTTGCAATAATGAAAGATTCTGTGGGCAAAATACTGACTGATGCAGCAAGTGTCAAAAGAAGATGGAAGGAATACACAGAGTCATCATACCTAAAAGACCTGGTCGATCTTCATCCATTTCTGAAGGTGGCATATGTTCAAGAACCAATGGTATTGAAGGAGAAAGTCGAAGATGTACTGAAGGAATTGTTGAAGAACAAGACTCCAGGAATTGATGGAATACCCACTGAGATATTTCAACAAACAGATGCCCCACTGGAGGTGCTCACTTGGTTATGCCAAGAGATTTGGAAGACAGCTACTTGGCCAACTGATTGGAAGAGATCCATATATTTGTACCCATTCCAAAGAAAGGTGATCCCACAGAATGTGGAAACTATCAAACAATATCATTAATATCTCATGCAAGTAAAATCTTACTGAAGATAATTCAAAAATGCAGCAGTACATTAGAATACCAGAAAGATGTTTACTTGTGTTTTATTGACTACGCAAAAGCATTTGATTTTGTGGATCATAACAAATTGTGCATGACATTGAGAAGGATGGGAATTCCAGAACACTTAATTGTACTCATGAGGAACCTGTACATAGACCAGGAGGCTGTCGTTCAAACAGAAAAAGGGAACACTGCATGGTTTAAAATCAACAAGGGAGTGTGTCATACTTATTCAATCTGTATGCTGAGCAAATAATCTGAGAAGCTGGACTATATGAAGAACGTGGCATCAGGATTGGAGGAAGAATCATTAACAACCTGCAATACACTGATGATCACAACTTTGCTTGCTGAAAGTGAGGATGACTTGAAGTACTAACTGATGAAGGTTGAAGAATACAGTCTGCAGTATGGATTACACCTCAATATAAAGAAAACAAAAATCCTCACAACTGGACCTATAAGCAGCATCACAAGAAATGGAGAAAAGATTGAGGTTGTCAAAGACTTCACATTGCTTGGTTCTACAACTGACGCCAATGGAAGTAGCAGTCAGGACATCAGATGACATATAGCACTGGGCAAATGGGCTGCAAAGGACCTCTTTCAAGTGCTGGAGAGCAAGGATGTCTCCTTGAGGACTAAGGTGAGCCTGACACAAGCCACGGTATTTTCAGTTGCCTCATATGCATGTGAGAGCTGGAAAATGAGTAAGGAAGACCGAAGAAGAATTGATGCTTTTGAGCTGTGGTGTTGGCAAAGAACGCTGAAAGTACCATGGACTGCTAAAAGAACAGGTCTGTCCTGGAGGAAGTGCAGCCAGAATGCTCCTTGGAGGCGAGAATGGCCAAACTTTGTCTCATATACTTTGGTCCTGTTGTCAGAAGGGACCATTCCCTGGAGAAGGATGTCATGCTTGGTAAGGTGGAGGGTTGACACGGTGGCGGCGGCAATGGGCTCCAGTGTAGCAAGAGTCGTGTGGAGCTGGCTCAGGACTGGGCGGTGTTTCATTCTGCTGTGCATAGGGTCTCTATGAGTCAGAGACGACTCGATGGCACTTAACAACAACAGCAGGGCAAGAACTGTTTCAATGAAGGGATGTATCAGGAGGCCATCCCAGCCTGGGGAGCGAGGGTGGCAGGGTGGGTGGAGGGGCTGAGATCTGAAGGAAGAGGTGGCCCACTGTGTCCCAGGCAGAGAGCACAACAGGGGCGGAGTCAGGAGGTGGGAGGGGCTTGGCTTTTTCCAGAAATGGAGCGGAAGCCAGTGTGGCTGCCTCTCAGAGACTGAGAGGGAGGTGGGGCCAGGGGCCTGAGGCGGTGCAGGGCCAGCTGGGGCCAGCCGAATTGTCTCCTAGAGAGGGGGGTTATCAGGGACAGAGTTTGGACCAGTGGATGCCGGCCCCTTGTGGGGATCTGAGTCACCCGTAGTCCTAACAGGGGAGGAAGGGAGCAGAGGCACGCTGGCTACACCCACCCGTTGATCTACCTCCTGTTGCCCCCAGGTGCTGCCACAGCCATGACTGTTGCTATGATGTTGCCGAGAAGGCAGGCTGCAGCCCCAAGCTGGAGCGTTACTCCTGGAAGTGCATCAACAATCGAGTGGAGTG